CAGGCCATGCTATGGAAGAAGGATGAGACTCATATAGTGCCAGGACTACAGCTAGGACGACTAAGCACAAGGAAGCAAGTTCCGGCTTAAAATATGGAGCCGGCTGCGTATTTGAGCAGATGCCTGGGGGAGTTGTGGATTCTTTATTCCCAGAAATATTCAAACACAGTCCACGTAGTCATTTGTCTGGATGGTGGAAAACCGAGTCATTACATTATTTATTGACCCATACAATATTGAGCACCTACCATACATACGTTCCACATTGTGGAAGGGGGACACCGAGGTAAGTGATACAGTCAAAATCTCTGTCCTAATGTAGTTTGTAAAATAACAGATGCAGACAACAAACAGAAAATTGAAAATCAACAGATAATTAAATCAACAGATAATTAAATCAGCAGATCATATCTCTGACAGAAATAAATAAGGTGCGGGGCAGGGAAGGTGACCGATTGACTGTGGGGGTGATTAAAGTAGGTGACATGGAGCTAAGCCCTGACAGGAGACAGCTGGGAGAAAAGAATCCCAGCTTCGGAAACTATGAGAGCACTGAGTTGGCAAAGGGCTTGGTTAGACAGAGAGAGAGGCCAAGCCTGAAGCATCTCAAGAGAACAGAGTATGAAGCTATGAAGGCAGGCGACATCTTATACCTGACACAGTTTTGTGGGTCTCAGATAAAAGCTTTTGTTAAAGGGAATGAGATATCACTGGAAAGTTTTAAACAGGGAGTGGTGTAATTGGATAAAAATTAAAAAAAATAAGTGGTGTACAAGATAACCTTGACATTCTTTCCTAAAGCTGAGATTCTGTTATGATTGGGTCTTAACCCTGTCTTATTGCACACACAAAACAGTTATGTGCCACACGTCTTGTTATTTGGCCTATTTAACAGTAGCTGGAGGATAAAAGACCCAGTCTTGTGATTTATCCTGAATTGGCCCTTCTCATTAGTGCCTCTTTCTCATAGATATATCTGTTCTGTTCTAAGCTAGTTGGTCCTCTGTGCCTGCAACCCTGCCCCCACCCTATACCACTTCTCCCAGTGCTTCTATCTGCTCAGCAATTTCATCACGGAAAAGTGATTGGGTTATTTCTCCTGGTCCAAACTCATTATTTTGCCTCATAATGGAGGACCTGTCTCCTTTCTGTCACAATGGACTGTCCCTTTGTACCAATGCCTTGGCCTGGACTCAAGACCATTTTCTCCCTTACAATCCGTGAGACTATAGTCTCCTTGAGAACAGGGATTATATCTGCTCCTGTATTGTATTTCTGTATTCACCACAGTTTTGGCACCTCTGGTCTTTAAGTGTTTAAAAATCATTGTTGAATGAAGCAATACTCTGACCTTCAGCAGCTTGTACGGACATGGGATCCTCCTGGATGCTGGCTCTCCTCTCTGCACTGAATCCTATCATTCCCCTTCCAACTTCTACACTATAAATCACAATGGCTCTGTACCAGTTAGATTCTCCCACCCAATTTGACCAGAGCCTTTTTTTGTTTCTCAATCAGTCAAGGCACAAACTTGGGATTGTTTTCCTGAATTGTGGCTGAGTCTTAATTGCGATAACTCAGAAAAAGCAAGTCTGTAGATGTTCTGCATAATTTCTAGGATAATAATAACAGTTCACATTCATTGTGCACTACTGCTTGCCAGACACCATGTTAAGTGCTTTGCAGGCATTGTCTCCTTTAATCCTTACTGCAACCCTGTATAGAAAACATTACTATTCCCATTTTACAGATGACGATATTGAGGCTTAGAGAGGCCAATTTGTCCAGAGTCACACAGCTAACAAGTAGATCTGAGATTTTCAAGATTCCACTGAATGTAAAATTTGTACTCTTAACAACTAGAAAAAAATGTACAAAATAAAATTAATAATACATCACACACTGAAAATTAACACAAAGAAATGCATAAATTAGTTGATGATGATATTGAAAAATGGATGTTACTATGGAACTCTCTGTTGTATAATTGGATAGAATTTAATTTCTCTGTCAGACATTTTTCCTCTTCACCTCCAGAAAATCTTGTGTATTCATATTTTACTAGCATATCAGAGCGTATTTAAAGTTTTTTTGTTTTTTTTTTTTTTTTTGTAATTCTAAGATATTTTAACAGAAGAACCTAGGAAACTTAGGAAGGCAAGCATAGAAAATAGTCCATATTTATTAGATTTGAACGGCCTCAAATAAAAGTTATGAAAAGAACTTAAGAGTTCTCATATATAACTGATATATATATATCAGTTTTATATATATATATATCTCAAAACCTTTTCAGATTTTTAAAATCTGTTTTACTTATAGGTCTCAGGAACCGAAACTAACTCATCTTCCAGGGTTCTTTGAGTGATAGTTCTAAAGTGTCCAAAAGATTTTTCAATTTTTAATTTAACATTGAAGCCCACATTTGAAGATTTACTGATTTAAAAAGAGACTGCCTTTTAAAATGCCTGAGTGCTCCTGATGTTATTTGAAACCCATAAAATACATAGGACCCTGGATATAAAAAACAACAGAATTACAACATGCGGCACTAGCATGGTTTAAGGCAAAACTCCAGCTAGAAGTCTTATTGAAGAATAGTAAACCTTTCATTCAGAAAAATAGTTATCCTGGTTCTAACACTTATACTCATTGTCACGAGTAGATTGTGAAAAAGTATATAATGCATTTAAGATATATCGAGAATCAGATAAAGTACTTCTAGCAAATTACAAATAAAAATTAAGAGAATAAATGGTAAATGTTTCACCAGCCCATCTTAAATGGGAAAAATAATTCCCCACTTGGGGTAAGATTATGAACTCAATTAAGAATCCAACTTGCAGAAGAGTTTACACATCTATGAACCTGTGAATAGCTTAGGTTTACCAAGTCAGTGATTTTAAAACACCTGTACTGATACTTTGGCATTTATTATATGTTTATCTCATCTACTTTTTTGTTTGAAGGCTCTTTTAAGGCTCATGAGAAGTAGGAAAACCTGGGCATGGGTCATACTTTGAAAACTCTTAGCTTTGTATCTTTGGGCAAATCACTTAAAGTTTCTGAGTCTCAGTTACTTCATTTGTGGTCTATGATAATAGAGTAATAGGGTAATAGGCATGGACTTCAGAGCAACATGACCTGGGTCAAGTCCTAGATTTCCCCTGGGCCCACACATGTGAGGTTTGGATAAGTTCTTGATCTGTCCAAGCCTCAGTTTCCTCATCTATAAACTTAGAATATCATACCTAGTAAGACATCGTTAAGATAAGAGGAAATATATGTAAACTTATTAAGTTTACATATATTTGGCACTTATTAAGCTCTTAATAAATGATAGCTTCCAATGCTTGTGAACACATTTTGTAAACTGCATTATACATGCAAAATGTTATATAATATAATAACGTTATATATTATTATATATCATGTACTTTCTTACTACATTACTAAGTTACAACATTTCTCCATTAGTCTATATATATATATGAATATATTTTATGATGCATATTGGAGACTCGTGATACTTTTTGGGTGAAATTTGTCACGAGACTATGTTATCAGCCAACCTTGCAATAATGAGATATCTTTGATTTTTTTTCTTCTTTGCTGCTGTATTTTGGTCTGTAGTCTAGTGTTTCAATCTATCATTCATTCTTTTGTTCACTCGAATCAACAAACACCTATTAAATGCTTACTATGTGACAAGATCTATGCTGGGAGTTGTATTACAGAAGGAATTAGCCTATATATTTTATCACAGATGGTTTCAGTAAATATTATAAGCTATTATAAGTTATTGCAGTAATACAGAAAACTTAGAAAATATTATAGTTTCTGTAAATTGCAATGGGAATTACCCTTGCCAATATATCACATATTCTCTAGAAAATAATTATATGCAAACTCTTTTCCCAAGGGTTATTATATAAATTAAATAAATCCAAAGTGTTTATGAGGATTAATTAAAGAAAGGTATTTCAAAATGGAAACAACTTTTTAAATGATCATATTTGGGACTCAATATTGAATTATCTTTCAGAATAGATTTTTAAGGGCTTTATATCTAGAAAAATTTAAAAATAGGCCACAACTGGAAACAAGAAATCATTCTTCTGTTTTTACTTTATTTCCTTTAACAATCATAAGCCAT